CAAAGTCTTGGCAGCTCAAGTTCCGTGCAATTTGAGACATTGGGATAAAATAAAATCACTTTCGCAATTTCAGTGTAAGGCTTGTTGATGTTTGTTGGCACCTTTGGAGGTCCTTCCCAATCCTGCAAGATCCTGAAAAAGTCTCCTGCGAGATTTGGGTCGTCTAAAATCATGGAAAACATGGTCAAAACAGTCAGTTTAATATCGTGTAGTGCGTCATAAGACCTCATTGGCTTCCAAATGCTTAAACAAGTGTTTCTTCGTTTTGAGCTCAATTTGAATCCATCTTTTGAGCCTTTCCCGTTGCATTTTGAGCTTCAATGTTTTCAGGGGGCAGGTGTTGACGCTTGCTGTGGCATTGAGCAGCGCAAAAACCACATGTCACAGTTACACACCGCCACCCAGAGAACTCCAAAGCCGAAAGTTTGCAAACATCGATGGACACTGTTTGACAACCACTCTCGTCTTAGAAGTGCAGTTTCCTGATGTTTCCGTTCAAAAGGAGGTACCGGGGTACATTGAAAGATATTGAAAACGCTTGCGCGCTTTCAATCACTTGCAGTCTAAGGCTTTGCTGCCACCTTCAATGATCCTGTGTGGTCCTGTCAGGTCATGTAAGATGCTGTGAACCGTGCCTGCAAGACTTGGATAGCATAATCCAATGTTCTGCATCATAAGACACCATAAGCTCTTCGCACGTTTAAACAACTGCTTGTTCTTTTGAGCTCAAGTTGAACCTTTTTTGAGCTTCCCCCATTGCATTTTGAGCTCTAAAAGTGTCAGGTGGCAGGTGTTGAGGCTTGCTGTGGCATTGAGCAACACAATAACCACATGTCAGAGCCACACACAGCCACCCACAAAACTCCAGCACCCAAAGTTGGCAAACATAGGTAGGCACGTCCTTTTCCTCTTCGTTTTTCTTGTATCACCACCCCCTATAAGGTTTCTTTTTGGTGGCTAGCCAACCCTGACATGGGAAAGCTACGGATTCATACCAATTTCACGTGGAAAGTATGGGTTCATGCCGGCTGCGCGTCCGGAACTTCATGGCGCCCAAAAAAACAAAAACAGGGGATGAATATGCTGGTTGGGTGCAATATGGTGCAGTCAGATTTTTGCATGGTTTGTTGAATGATTTCTTGTGTTCACGCATGTTCATGTCTTCGCTGGCTACTTTAGACTTGTAGTATCGCCTGTTTTGTCTTGGTCACGTTTTGATAAGTAGTTTGTGATGCTTTTGGGGCATTCATTGCATTAGTCTTGTTGGTCTTTGCCAAGAAACATAGTATAGTATAGTCTGTCACAGCCATAAAATATGAGACGTGATCCGGAGAAGCTCCAAGACAGGATCGCGAATGACGAATGACGAATCAGGTCTTAAGGTTAGAGGGACAGACGACGAATCACGAATCACGAATCACGCTCAGGGTCAGGGGTCTCAAGGCTAGAGTAAATTTCGTGGCAGGGGCAGCACTTTGTGAGCCCTGAAGTGCAGATTTTGTGGAAGGGGCGGCACTTTGTTGACCCTAACGCGCAGATTTCGTGGCAGGTGCAGCATTTTCTGAACTCTGAAATGCAGATTTCGTGCCTTTGGATGACATTCTTTCCAACGCACTGGATCGCAAGAAGTGTCGCGAAATCCAGAAGGATGTTTGCTTGCATTTGCACGCAAAATGATATACATATAAATATCCTGATATGTATGCGCATGTATGCGCACACACACACATGTGCACATACATACATGCGTGGACTTCCATCCGTGCGCAAACCAGAAAAGAGGGTGAAGGATAGTACAGTCTTTTTTTAGAGGTTGTAAAACTCTCAAGAGCACCCCAGTGCCTTTTGCAAAACGCCAGGCCTTCAACTTTCAACACCTAGTTTATCACAAGCTTTTAAAAGTAGGTGTTTTCCATTGAAGCTGGTGATGTTGGGGCTGGAACTTGCTTTCGGCAAATGGAGCATGTCTTTCATGGTCTTTCAAGCTGGCCAATCCAACGACTTCATAAGGTCAATGAGAAGCCCTAGCTGCCCCAGAAGGTCCTAGAAGCATGGGTGAGAAACTGGCGAATCGTTCAACCTTAATTAGTCATGAAAGGCCATTGCTGTTTTGTTCTCTTTTGCTTTATAGTTTCAGCACTGTGGACATGATATGACAAAATAGTTTCTTATCATGTTCCTCGCTGCACTACACCTGACCAGTGCAGGCCTCCCGTCGGTGGCTGTCCTTTTCCTTTTCTGTTCCTCTTCCTTTTCCTTTTTCATTTGTCTTTGTCCTTTCCTTGTCCTTTTCCTTCTCCTTTTCCTGGTCCTTTCCTTTTCCTTAGCTTTTCCTTTTCCTTTTCTGTTCCTCTTCCTTTACCCTTTCCTTGTCCTCACCCTTGTCCTTTTCCTATCTGTTCCTTTTCCTTTCCCCTTTCCTTTTCCTTTCCTTTTCCTTTCCCTTTTCCGTTTTCTTTTCCACTTTTGAGCTTTGTTCTTTTTGAGCTCAATTTGAATCCTTCCTTTGAGCCTGTCCCACTGGAAATTGAGCTTTAAAGTAGTCAGGGGGCAGGTGTTGAGGCTTGCTACCCCATTGAACAGTGACCACGTGTCAGAGTTGTCTTTGTCCTTCTCCATCTCCTTTTCGTTTCCTTTTCCGTGTCCGTGTCCTTTTCTTTTTCTCTTGCTTTTCATGTTCTTTCTTCCTTTTCCATGATCTGTATGCAAAAACATATACTGTATAACTCTGTATACATACAAATCTTACAAACAAAATAGCTAAAGAAAATGGCTAGCCACCACGCACCCCCCCATGGCCCATTAACCATTTAGTTAGGAGGGTGGATGACCGTGGTGCATAGTTCAAAGCCTATATAAATGTTGTTCCTTTAAAAGAGCCACCCGCCGGTAGGGTTCGGCGGGTTCCAAGCAGCTTCCGTGGGTAACTCTTTTTTGGAAGCGCGAGGCTAGACAATTTTTTGATTGGTTTTATCTTTATTTGGCGGTTATTGCGACAAGGAGGGAGCGAGGTGTGAGGAACCCGACCTGCTTCTGGAGAAGGTGCCGCTCAACGAATCAACTTTGCATCCCATCTTCCAACATGTCTGCCAGCTCCCAACAAGCTGCCCAAACACCTGCTGCCGAAACTCCTGACGTCTGTCCCAGGCTCATGTGGAGTGCACCGGGCTCCTTGACTCTCCTTGTCTCGCGCCGGCTCTCCTACTAGACCTCCTGCTGAATCTCGAGAACGCTCTCTCGCATCCCTAGGAGTGTCGTATTTCCACCCTCTGCTCCTTTCACCTTCCTCAGGGGGGGGCTGCGCCCGTTTCAACCAGGGAGGCGGCCCCTCCGGCCGTCTCCGTCCTTTCTAGCTTCTGCCTTCCATCCCCCGGCTGTGTAGGAGACAAAAGGGGGAGCATAGCAGGGATCAAGATCTTGATCCAACATAGCACCGCACGCGCTCGTCTTAAACAGCCACTAAGTACAACACTTTGCACAATCCGTGAACAGTTTCAGAAGTATGAGGAGTTTCGAAATAGGACCTTGGACCTTGATCCTATCGGTGCTGTGCCACCGCACGTAGAGCCCCAAGACGTGCTCTCTTGTCCAAGATCTTGGATCCTCTCAAGCAACATACTCAAAGCCAAACAATCCTGAAGGAAAGCAACGTTGACCCAATCATAACAAACCAACATGTAAACATCCGCATGGTGCTTGTGAATGAATGAATTCCTGGGGATTTGCCAACATATTTCGACAATGGCAAAGTATTTTCCAAGACATTGATTGCGGAATTGCGGACCACAAAACTCCCAAATAACGATAATCCTTAGCCACAATCGACAAGCGATTGGGCCATGCGTCGAACCCTACTGAAATCTTTGGTTTCACAACTTCCGCTGGTGATGAGTCCTCGATTTTCCATCAAAGAGCGATCTTCCTGCACAAGAGACTCCATGATATCAAGAACTGGTTTCTGAGATAGTACCCACCCAAGTTCTCTGACAACCCAATCATTTGCCCCAACTAACACACGGTCTGTGGCATCAGCGTGATTTGACGCCGAGGCAAACGAGTTCACACTTTCAACTGTCATCCGCACAATTTCTGCCTCTCGGTTGCTCAGCATCATATCCGTAGAGGCACCCTGCTTTTGCCACAGATCCTCCATCGTCTCTGAGATCCTCAGCGCACCACGCGACCGTACCGACACCGTCCGTACCGATCGGACGGTCCGTACCGCCCACGGTTCCTCTGAGCTCACGGCTGGAAACCCATCACCCTCTTACCGACCTAGGAGACGGACGAGACGCCGTGCGGACCCGATGAACAGCCTAAAAGGCACCAAACACGTTCCAAACGAGAAGCATGACAAACAGTCGTTCAATCAGGTTTAATGCCCAGTGGCAAAGTTGAAAGCTGCGGTGACCAACAAATTTGAGCTTGATCCAAAAAATACTTAAGAAAGCAAGGCCCGATTGGGAACGAACAACCATGCAAGGCAGGTGCATTATCGTCATGCAAAGCATGACTACCTTATCAGCCTTGGAGAAAACCTGCAAAACAAATGGTGCATATATTTTCATATGGAGTACTGCGCTGCAAGACCAAGAAGTCATCCGAGGACCTTCCGAACACAAAAGAAAACCCACAAATTCGTCCATACCAGGTTCCGTCCGTTGCCTTTGAGGTTGGTATGATGAGACGTCTCTTGTGGCATTTGTTCGGCACAACAGCCACAAAAGCCTTTAGATAGAATCACCTTTGCGACACGTGCCCCAAAAAAAGGCAGGTTTTCTCTTGGGGTGTCTTTCCCTCTTTGGGATCTATGCTCGAAACATTTTGTTTTTGGCAGGGAAACATCTATAATCATACATATATGTTACACCTTCAGTTAATATGTTCTTTTAAACCTATCACTAATAAACATAAATATAAAGAACTCTAAATAAACTATATATATAATTACTCTTGACATTGACGTATGATATCGTAAGATGATGTATGAATATATTAGCTTCTTTTATCTATTGCAGGACTATTCTGCTGCATCTGCAGCTTCTGGTTCTTGGACTGGGCTGGGCTCCTGGGCTGGAGTTCTCTCAAGCGTTGTCCAAACCTTGAACAACTCAGCTACCAAAAGCTTTCTTGAATAAAATTTGTGCTCAAATTGAGCATATTGTCTGAACAAGGAACATGTGGTGGGTTTTGCTCTGGTTCGCTCTCAAGTTCTCGTTTGGTCACTTGGCACAATCATCTGAATCCCCCAAGCTTAGACTCTGCCATCAAGTTTCCTTCTCCCTCAATCGCCTCAATCGCCCACACACACACACTCACACGCACCAATAATGGGGCAGCACTTTCCATATTCTTGCATCGCACGTCTTCCCAATCCAGCAGAACGGAAGGCTCCTTCGCTATTTCCTTGGCCTCCTCCATTTCGTGCTCCCCCTGGCCGGCTCAGCAAAAAGCAGCTCGAATCCCGGGAATGAACTTTGTGCTACTCTGATCTTGTCAAACATCGAATTGAGTCTCCATCATCAGCTGTTCACAAAAGGCCCTCTGTGAGCACAACATGCTCAAGACGTGGCATCTGCAGAAGCAGAAACCGATCAAAAAACCATTTTGGGTATATTCATGTATTATATTCCATTACCATTATTCCATTGCCAGTAACAGTGGATGATCAACTACTAAGCCAACTAAGCCAGATCTTCACTCTTGGGATCCCAAACCCCTGATCTGTCTCCAGATCGCTGGCGGAACATCGGGGCGCGCGCTTCTCTCCCCAAGTCCCTGGGCAAATAGGGGACGTACAACCATTTCAACCTAACAAATGTTCCGCAATTGTTCAACATTGTTCAACTGGACATGAGATCACTACTTGGACATGAGCCACATTATGCCACATGAGTTTTTTGAAGTGCACCCTGGGGCAACGACCTCTCCATTTCGCCATCCTCCAAGTTACCTTAGCCATGAAGTCTAGGTGAGTTGGAGCAGGTCACTTGTCCCAGTATTTTGGGCCGGAACCATTTACACAATGCAACTGCCACTTGCAAGAGTTGCTGCTCTTCAAAGCTTCAGCCAAGTTGCCCTCCGAGTCCTGCCCAAAGTAGCAAATCACAAGGGCCACCTCAATTGCCCCCAAACTGGCAGGTTGCCGATGTGTAGCCAGCAGTGGAGTATTCGGCCGTGGAAAAAACATGGTCCAAGCAAGAAGCTCCAAACAAATTGGCCGTATCAGGGAGTTTGTACTTGGCTGTGGGCAACCAATGTCTTTCTTGGATCTACTTTGCTCATGGTGTCTGCTTTCGTCTCATCTCAACTTAACTCGTGTGCTGAAAGGCTCCGGCTCCAGTTGCCATCGCCAGCAGGGCCAAGAAGATTTGGCTCGCTGAGTGGGCACTCTCACTGCGGCAAAGGAGCAGGTTGCGAAGGGCTCTAAGGGTCTGTCCTTGACCTAGTCTTGATTGGGTAGTGCATAGACATCCAGTCCAACTCAACCATGGTCCAACTATGACCCAAGATTGGTTGAGACATGTTGAGACCTACTCTGCTTGAATCCAAGTTGCACCAGCACTCAATCCATGGACTCCGAAGGCACCTTACATCCAATGTTTGCAGTCGTTCTTCTGGAGGACCCTGGCACAAGCGAGAATCATTCCGAATCTCAGGTGAGCGCGCACGGAGGAGACGAGCATGCACCGAGGAGACGAGGGGTGAAACTGGTTCTGCCAAACGACAAAACGACCAGAAAAAGCAACTTCAAACAAAAACTGTTTGAAGGCCTTGGTTCTGCAAGCTCCTTGTTGCTACTAACAAGAAACACGTTCATATTACTAAAAGAACGAAGGTGAACTACTCTCACAAACGCCCAAACACTCGCCATGCCTGCGGTGCACCAGTGATTGACCCTGACACACCTCAACAAAAGCCCGGCAAACTCGTGCACAGGTTCTTGAAAAAACAAAAGGCAACAAACTCAGCAAGCCAGTCTTCCGAACAACACTTCTCACCTTTTTGACCTTCAAGCAAAAACCGAGGTCTGGAACCACAGTTGCTTAAAAAAAACACACAATCTTTATGTTGAGACGCCCAGGTTCCTAGCGGGGCTCCAGCGAGATCCCCTGTAGGTGGAGCATGTGTCTCACCTGATCAAAGCGGGATGAGCAGCGCATATCTCGCAAAGAACCTGAAGCGATCCTGTCCTTTCTGAGCAGCTCTTGTAAAAGGCGTGACATGCCGCTATTTTAACACTTCTGTACCCGGCTCTTAGGGCATAGAAGTCCCGAGGGGTAGCCTAGCATAGGCCCTATCATAGGGGGGGTCCTACTCGTAGTATTCATGATAATATTTGCTATGATAATATATTATTATGAAATAACTATAGTTATTTTCAGGCAC